TCTCTCTCTCGGTCAAATCCCCCCTCCGAGTGTATAACTCTTTTCAGCGCCTGCCTCATGGATTAGATATTCACCCACAATCCTTCATCCATTAACAAATAGAAACAACTTTGACAAAGTTTTCACGCGCGATTTTTAGCCAATGTGCTACCACGTGCTGTGCGCCGCTTCTCAGTATTCGCACAATGAAATTGAATTTTCGAAAGTTCCTGATGGACCGAAGCAATCGAGTAATTAAATTGAGAGTATCAGTCCAAACTATTAAGCCCCATTTAGGCATCCCGGGGTCTCGGCGATTCTGGGAAATTATCCCACAAGACTTTTCAGCCAGAGGCCTGATTGCTTCAGTGAACAATGAAATTTGGTGAGCTGCAAAAATATGAGCATAGATTAGGACGGTTTTTGGCTTAAGCACATACGCAACAAAATGCAACATTTTGGCGTAGAAAGTTTTACTCCACTCGTGAAGGCTTTGCAGCTGAGAACATTGTGTGGATAACGGGCACCCTGTGCCCGCGCGTTTGTCACGAACTCAAATCGATTCGCAGTTCTCTCCGTACTATCTTGCACAACTTCATTCAACAGTTAGACGGAAATCCTCGTAATTTGAGGTTTGTACGTGTAGTACCACATTTTGTTGACAATTCCCAAGAACGCCCCATTCTTGACTTGTGATTTCGCGTGTCACTCAGTTGAGTTTTACAAAATACGTCCTGTATTCTGCACTGAGTGCATTTGGTTGTTAACTTCCAAATCTACTGATGCATAGATCTACCACATGCGGACCCAAAGGAAATTCCAACAAAACTCCGCCTTTCTGTAGACAGCTTTCATCGCTAAATACGAGCTGAACATTGGACATGCAGAACAGTAGCAGTTTTTCAACGGAGATTTTATCCTGTAAGTGGAGTCAATCTACGCTGCAAAGCTAGACAGTGCTTGTCGGCTTATCAGCATGGATTGGTTACACTTACACGACTAGATCTTCTTTAAAAGCGACCGAAGTTCCATCTTCAGCTGGCCTGGGAATGGCAACCAAATCGCCCACCTAATCAACAGCTTCACAAACATGGTCTATTTTCTCAGTCAGTGACAATACGCCGGAAGTGAATGTCGGATCGTTCCTTTAACTTTGAGCCATCAAACTAGAAATACAGAAATATGGAAATATGACAAAATATGTTCTTATGAAGAGTACAGATGGTGAAGCCGCGAGACTGGGTGTAGCTTGTCACCTTCTGGCGCGTTTACGTGAGACGTCGGTGATGTGGACTGCACTGGATTGGTGCTCCGTGAAACGCCGACTCGTTGAGTGTTTTACGCTGCAATCTAATAACAATTATTATGCTTTTTAAGCACCTCACAACCGTTAATTTTACACATTGAATCCAAAATCATCAGCAGTTTTCCTCGCTCGGTGTTTAATGTGTTTTTGCACAAACTGGGTGGAATAAGGTTCCACAAAGCTCAATTCTGTGGACCTTGAGGGGAAATTTCCCTAATTTTTGGACTGGTGGTCGCACTTATGGCGAACAGTTGAGCGGTTTTCAGTCTTAATCTGAAAAAGACACCGTAGGAGAAGAGAAAAAAGGTTCTGACACTTGGTTGTCGGACCAAAAATCAACTTGCACAGACGCCGTAGCTTCACTCGGACTCTTTGTCGGACCAAAAATCAACTTGCACAGACGGCTTAGCGTACAGTACACTCTTCACCCGGACTCTCTAGAATGGTCTGAGTGCATCATGCAAACTGATGAGACAAGGACTATGATAACTTAAGGGCAGTTGGACAATCGTTTGCGTAAAATAAGTTCGGGTGGACAACGAATCGCGCTCCAAAACTGACGATCTAGGTCTACCAAGGTCTTCCGTACAACAAGCATCAAAGGCAGGTCCAGTGATGGACTGGTCTATGTATATCAGTTTTCCATTCAAGGATGATTCAATGCCTAGGAAAGCGAAGCAGTGGTTTAGGAAAGAAATCGAAAAAATTGTTACATTGTAGCGATGTATCCGGATTTATACAGTAGCCATGGGCCGGCTCTTAATGAGAGATGGTTTCGTCTAACTTGTGTGTGTGTGTGTTTGTGAACTCATTCGGATGCATCCATCATTATCAGCTGTACTTGTTGTACTCGGATGTACTAACCGAGCATCACCCATTGTCCGTTCTTGATGAGGTTCACGGAAGCCCCTCGGTTTGTTAAATAGTAGTCAGAAAAGACGGTTCCCCAGAAGAACTGGACACACATCGCGTTCATTCCAACAGTAGCTTCAGCTGCTTTGTTTTTCTTCAACCGGTAGAGATTGATGAAAGCCTGATCACTTAGAGAGCTCACCCACATTCGACTCTGTAACTGTAGCCTGTGGGTTCAGAATAAATTTTTACCTACGCATGAGTGAATCAAACGTATTAGGATTTCGTTTGATAAGCAATTTGTGAATCGAATATTCCGCTGTTAGCACGACCGTGTATTCAAACGGCTTCCCGGAATCATGACGAACTGTGGGATGGGGACTGCTAAGGTTCTGCTCGAAAAAATGCTTGAGCAAAGAAATCAGGAGCAGAAAAAAAACAAAATGTGTAGATTAACAATTTGTATTCACAACACCCTCCTGTTGCGGCAGGATCATTCCAATCAGGCCATACAAAAACATTAAATCAAAGGACTCGAGTTTCATTGCTCTTCTGCACAATGATGATGTTAATACGACTGGTGACGGCACGCTTACAACAAAATTACCGAGCTCGGTGAACTGGTCAGTCCCGCTAGTTCGACACCTGTTCCTCTTAAGATCCACCATACACGCTGGTAAGTTGGTCCGCTGATCAGCTCCAGAGGTACACCACCCAGAAAAGCCCACAGCGGCCATCATTCGCGAGCTTTTTTTGTAGTATGTACTATCACTAGAAAACACTACCACACCTTAGGTGGATTTTTGCGATTCCCATCGTTTTAGCCACCAAAAAAGGCCAGGAATCTGACCATCATAAATCCACATGTTTTAAGGGTCTTCGACACCTCTGAACAAGCTATGACACACAAGGGCGCATGACCAGCAAACTGCTAGCGTTCTGTGTGACCAAGACAACCTAGTTTGGTAATATTCGCAAAATGATGTGTCGAGATTTATTTCACATTCAGATGAGCTCATCGGGTATAAGTCTAGCATTTGATACTACTCCTTTAAGAACTTTCATCACATGATGAATATCTGTCTTACATATCCCTGGCGTTGGTTCCAATGCACGATGAACCCATTGGGACAAGATTGAAATGTACTTTGTTACATCTAGTAAACCGTTATTGGATCAATAATTACATTAAATGGTGATCTAGAACAGGCAATTAAAAACGATGTTACCAAATCAGGTATCGACAATATTAACTTTGGATTTCCTCAACCTGCATTGAAGGTACGTGTTAGGATAGCTCGAATATCGTCCCATTACATACTTGAAATGTCGCTTGTCCTGCACGGTATCTCGCTGTCCTTTCTCAGACTACGTCCCGTCGGACAAGTGAGCCTTGAAGAACCCGGTTCCAGCCTTTGTGGCCCGCAGTATGGTTAGGGAACTGTAGCCTACTCTCGAGAAGTTGGGAATTGAGGTCATATATATATGAATACACATAAACGTTTATATGCATATATACACCTACATATGTGTACATTGATTTAGCTTTTTCATCTGGAAACCTAACTTTAGTTCTTATTCAGTAGAGTTCCAGTATTTACCTCCAATCAGGCCAAAAACGCTAGCCAAATATTTCTTTACTATATTATATTATAATTTTATTTTTATTGTAAGTATTGGGAAGAAAATCTTGACTAACGCACCACACGCTTAAGGTAGTGAGTCTGGTACTCTTACGATTAGCTCAGATCTCTAACTAATTATTCAGTAATGTAAACTCCCAACTCAGGCAGGCAGTACAGCACAGTATGGCGCTGAAACAACCTGCCAACTAGAGTTTACATCTTGCGACAACTACATTCATTCGCAAATCAATTTGGTTTTCACTGGAGACTCAATTGAATCTCTCGTTTAGGATGTTCTTCAACTGAATGTGCTGTACGCAGGCCATCTCATGTTTCAGTTGGTACGATATTCGAGATATCGCTGTGTATTTTCATAAATGAAACTACTCACAAGGTGGCTGAAAACTCTTCGACAGCCCACGACCGGTTTCGCCCTTCTTGGGCTCACCAGGTAGGCGCAGTCCCCGAGTTTCCGTCAACCTTATGTTCTACTTGAACCCAAATTGGACTGATTTTGACAAATACACTCATTTGCAAATCAATTTGGTTTTCACGAGATACTCAGTTGAATCTCTCGTTTATCATGTTCTTCAGTTGAATGTGCTGCACACAGGCAGCCTCCTCTAATTTCGGAAAATTCATAAGTTCCCCAAACTTGGTGGAAAGTCCTTATTAGGCAGAGCAAATTAAAGAGGATGCCCCCATACACTATTTTGTCGTTTTGATGGTTCTTAAATGTGCGCACACTACATCTCTAGCACAGTGTTGGACGAATCCACCCAGGTGACCGTCTTGGAATTCAAAACATCCCAGGCTTCAAGCGGTAAAAAGAATATTTGCATCAAATGAGTGAGGAGATTTTGTAAATTCGGCAACACTGAAGACATGGCGTTCAGACAGTTATGAAATCAATAATTATCGCAATACCTCAGACCAGAGGGATGTCACACAGTAGCGTAAAATTAGCCGTTGCGTACACGATTAACGGCGTGAGTCATCCATGCGTGAATGTACGACGGGTTCCTTGATACGAGGTGGGATTTGCCAGTCTGAAATTTCAGCTGACGTTAATTTTGTGCCAGCTAAATTTTCTTCAGCAGCATGACCGATGTAACAGCAAGTTGATACACGGAGCAGTGGACAAACACAAGATGAATAGAACGTATCATTGAGGAATAGAAATCCACGACAAAAATACTGGATTGCATCCACGTAGTTCAAGTTCGTCAGAAATGTATTCACTCAACTTCATATTCCTGGTATTCATAATCTCCTTTCTCATCAACAACCGACCGCTGGTCAGATTCAGCTACTGTCTTACGAGTACGCGCCAGACGGTCCCAAGCCATTTCAACCAGCAAAGACAACAGACTCAAAGCGACAAACGCGGTCAGAATGATGAGAGCTCCGGCGGAGCGCTGAAGACCCAGTGAATGATATTCAGTTTCGTGAACACCACATTTATTCATTGTGAACCACCATTTGTTTCGAAGGCGATCAATCACACCGGTTTCTTTCAGCTTGGATAAACTGAAAAACGGAAATAATGTGACACTTACAAGGCCGCTTTCAAGGACATTGTGTTGCGGATTTGACGAACAACTTTTGAGTCGAATGGGGAAAACCCTTATTGTACAAGGTGCTACGACAGATCGGAAACTACTTAAATGTTGGCGACGTTAATGTGCATTGGAAAGGTTGCAATAAATAGCAAATAATAGTGCAACAATGGCACACTTTCTACGCTAGGCTGCCATTCTACCAGAAGCAAGCTTGAGGACTGGTGCACTGCCAGCTGGCCCAGGCCTAGACAAGAGCAGTCGTTGTCGGGTTCGAAACTCCTGGACAGTAATTCTGCGCCCTAACTACTCAGCTACCCGAGATCGGTTAAAGACCACTTATCCGATGTTCCACCTAACATGGCAACTCTTGGGTCTCACTTATCCCTAACTCATGTCTTACAGACCACACCCACCGGTGTATGTTGGTAAATCCGTTCTGGTCGGTCCAATGCAGAAACTGTTTTGCGAGGCCGAAAGAATATGATCCAACAAATAAAACTTTCGATCACATTAGATGGCTAGCTTGTATACTTAAAGTGTAGCGCACAAGTTATGCGGTACAATGACACGGATGTTCAGAATTATATGAGCATAGAACTACCTGTGAGCCGAGAAGGTTTCGCCCCCTGTGGACGAAGGCAGGCAAAAAGATTCTACTATTAGATCAGCGAAGAATGGCTATGAGTGGCTTCTCCGGACGCTGCCAGAAATAAGAAATGCAAGCGACTGTAAACTTGCATGATATGGAAGGATAGTTTTAGCACGTATCTATCTTCACACGCCTTTGGGACTTCAGCCTGATCCACAGACCGCCGCAATCGTGGACTACGAAGAGCAAGGAAGTATGAAGCTATCATAAAAAAACTAGAAAAGTAGGGAANGTATGAAGCTATCATAAAAAAAACTAGAAAAGTAGGGAAAGCTCTTTTATTCCTTTTTCACCTGCAGGTTTTGTCGTCATGTATGCCAACTAAGGCCCGATGGCAACTCCAGAGCGCAAATGCCCACACACTGTTGACCACGACAGGCAGAATGATGACTTCTCAGAGAGCTCTTCAACTCACCTCCCGGAGTGTATTTTTATCAGAATTATTTCGGAGACTTCAATAGGGGATGCGTGGCTGCCCTCAGTCCATGAAACTGAACATGCGAAGGGCGCTAATAACCTGACGAAATTCTCATCAAAGAATACCATATTCATTAGGCTGGAAAGAATCACTTGTGGATATCCGGTGTAGATTTCATTCTGCAGTAGAAGCCAACAGTAGAAGCCGACATGGACTAGAAGGCTGTGGTAACCTTGTTCGGAATGATCAGCAGTGGTGGTATCACGAAGTTTGAGTCCTGAATTTATGAACACCCAACCACATTTGGAGGACTGAGCATCTTGATTTCAGCCTCTTGATTTTTCAGCATGGACAGACTTTTACAGGATGAATTTTCAACCAAAGCCTGAAAATAATCCCCTTACTTTCCACAAATCATGAACAATTTTATCGGAAGCCAAAAGCCACTTGAACTTTCAATCCGAAACGCCAACATTAGAGCCAGTCAGCACCGAGTCACGTGACAGGAACACGTGACAGGATCGAAAGATGGTTGGTGCACATCATATGTAAAGGTGATTTGATCGCACTCCTGATCAGCCCCCGTGACTAAACAGAGGACTCCGAGACGATTTTTCCCAACTAGAATGCAAAGAATGTAGAGTGCTTGTGGGCCTTTCAGCACAGGATAACAGAAAATTCAGAATGGAAGCATTACTTGAAGCTTCATGCACTTCCCCTTAGTACTCGCATAATATTTTTGGCATGATGTAATAATACGGGTGGCTGTTAGCTGACCATACAGTATTTAATATCCCTCTAGAAGGGCTGAAATCTGGCGCTCGTGCATCCAAGCTATTGCCTTCAATGCAGAGCGCCTTTTCCAACCCCACCCCACTTGACAGCCCACTGTACCTATCCCCCCCCTCCAAAAAAAACATCGGTGAACGAAACTGCGGCAGCTACAACCACTGTACGACGAGTACGCAGTTATTACAGCTGACAATGATGGTGATGATGATGATGATGATAATGATGAAATCTGTGTGATGTTAGCAATGAACGACTCGTTGAATTTTCATTCGGATTTCCCTGATACAAATAGCAGTGTAACGGTGGATACTACTGATGGGGCAAGGGAGTAGTATGCTTCTCGTAAATCCGCTTCGCGTCTCTTGAAGAGTGAGACCTATTACGGAATTTGTGGAGTCACTTTTTAGCATTTGCTTGCATTTAAGTAACAGTCAATGAATGACCAGGAAAGTTCAGGAAGACGCGTTCACGGAGAAGATGGATATTCAGTTTTTGTAAACAAGATGCATATGAGAGTTTTGCTCCCCTGTCCAATAGTCTGCAACCGTTCATTTAGTGTTTCTCCAATAAACAACTCCACAGCGGAGGCCTTCTTCCTCCCAGTGGTGGTAGTAGTGATAGGATAAATAGCTGCAAGAATCTTTCAAGCAATTGTTTCATTTTTTCATACCGCGTGCGCATGACTTTTGATCTCACCTGGAAACAGCCCGGGGGATATCGACCTTCCTTATCCTATTACCTGTTATCTTTGGACAGGACTGACTAAAATAGGAAGAGCACTTGGAAATAGAAAAGCCGGATAACCATAATTCGTCTGTCTTCTGTTTTTTTGGCATTCTGTGCCAAAACGTGCCAAAGCGTTTTTTAATGGATATTTATCATATGGTATATCACCTTCGAACCGGATGAACTTTCTCTCGAACCGGATATTGGGATCTGCTTCATATTTATGGCGTTTGCCTTCGGTGCTTAACTACTAGGGGATAACAGTGAAATGAATACAGAGTTGTTCCGGTCATAGCTGTGAAAACCAGTCAGGTCATCGTAGCAGCGGAGATTTGGTGTGATCAGCAAAAGCGGAATCCTCTTGGTGGACACGCTATACGAGGACATGGTGTAGAGTAAGTAACCTTTAACAACGGGCGCTAGTAGGTCCTATGTTAATGAACAAAATTGTTCAAATGCACTCTATAAAATCAACCTACTAGAGTGAAACCGCCTCGGCGTATCTTTCACCTGGTAAAGCCGCAAACCCCAAGTGATAGTTTCCACCATCGTCGGACACCCAATCCAATTCTAGGCAGTGCATTGCTGTGGCATAACTGAGGGCGTGATGACCTCCAATAACTGCGTACTGTGAAGTATTCAAAATCATCTTGACTGCCTGTGAGAGACTGGTCACATTCGATTGTTGTTCCACGTACTTTTGATACACGCGTCTGTGTACTTCACTGGCGGCTGGATCCTGTTGTGATTAACGAGAGACAAAGTGGTTGGAATTAACGAAATACACTCAGTTGCAAATAAATCTGCTACGTAAGTCCGTAATCTGTTCTTTGTTAACCGAGTTACTGAGGCATCTTCGGGTCTTTGGGGATTGATAGATCAGAATGGCTTCATAATGAAGTGGATCATGAATCAGGCTTACTGAGGATTACCCAGCCATGTGCTATGCTATCTAAAAAGCTGTACACTGACTTCAGCTTGAGCAATAATGCATGATATTAAAAGTATGAGTTCCGCCGAAGCTTTGGAAAAGTGTCATGAGTCTCGTCTGCCGGCGCCTTGCTGCAAACACCAAATGGTGTGGGTTTCTACCAAACTCCTTTTCTAAAACGAATGATATATCAGTTAGTTCCTTATAGTAACTAACGTCAGTCACCCTATAATCAATAAACAGATGGACACCAATGTTCCATTCGGGTGGATATGGTATCAACTGCGGCTGCATCCATATCGCTTCATTCGGTGCGGGCCCAGAAGCAACACTGGACTCGAATTCCACTCTTTCTAGGATCGATTGGCAGTTTGTACGATACTCCCCATCGCAATCGAAGCTGGAATGCGAGAAAAATGTGTTGCTGCTACTACAACAGCGCATAGTGGAGGAGCCTCTTTCTAGGATCGATTGGCAGTTTGTACGGTACTCCCCATCGCAATCGAAGTTGGAATGCGAGAAAAATGTGTTGCTGCCAGTACATCAGCGCATAGTGGAGGAGCTTGAATCATCACGACCGGAACTCAAACGCTTTCGGGTTCGGTTGATATTTGTGATGTGTTTGACACCACAAACAACAGTGGGACTGTATCTGATGTTGCAATATTGAGCATGTAGTGTTTAGGAACCTAACGAACCTCCACTTCAGTAAACCATTCAAGATGATAAAGTTTCTGAGGCTCGGAACTTGCATCTCCACCACCTCAACGCCAAAGAGAGGTGGTGGAGATCCCGGAACTGCTGACTCACTGCTAAAACGGAGAATCACAATGAGGGTTAGTGCTACTGATCCAGCTTTACTTGTGAGGGTTTTAGTATCACGTACATTTCTGCTAAAATATTTATTCACAGCAGAGAACTGTTTTTGACCGCAGTGATAATCGTCTAACTGCTGCGCGCAGTGTGCTACTTGTTAAAACATATAGCAGAGGGAATATTGATTGTTCATTATAAACTTTGAGGGGAGCAACGTGTAATGTCATGATCTTCATCGAGATCCCGGTTCTTGCTGCGACAGTAGTTGTCACATTGGAATATGTACTCAAGAGAGTTTGGCCCGTTTAATGGCCTTTTTGGGAGTTATCTAGGCGACACGACAGTTGTGTAGACCGACGGCCACTACGTACGTCCGCTTTGTTTCTTGAGGCACCCACATCCACCCAAGTCAACCATCCACCACATTGACCAAGTGTGGCGCAATTGTCCGATTCCATTCCTCGAGGGGTAATACGCCCATTGGGGAGACAAATTCATCTGTTGGTAGTGTTGGTGTGGATCTCGTCCTGTCAGTGAACCCAATTTATGCTGAGAAGCTGGGAATCACTGTATAGCTGTTTAATCCTTATTGGGAATCATCAGCAGTGTGCGTTTAACAAAACTCCAGAGAGTTTCGAACCTGCGACCATCCGAATACAAGTTTGAACTCTTAACCATTCGGTTATCAGCGCCTGATCAGCATGGAGGTTAACTTGCACTCAAACAGGGCCTTTTTGGGAGTTATCTAGGCGACACGACAGTTGTGTAGACCGACGGCCACTACGTACGTCCGCTTTGTTTCTTGAGGCACCCACATCCACCCAAGTCAACCATCCACCACATTGACCAAGTGTGGCGCAATTGTCCGATTCCATTCCTCGAGGGGTAATACGCCCATTGGGGAGACAAATTCATCTGTTGGTAGTGTTGGTGTGGACCTCGTCCTGTCAGTGAACCCAATTTATGCTGAGAAGCTGGGAATCACTGTATAGCTGTTTCATCCTTATTGGGAATCATCAGCAGTGTGCGTCTAACAAAGCCCCAGATAGTTTCGAACCTGCGACCATCCGGATACAAGTTTGAACTCTTAACCATTCGGCTATCAGCGCCTGATCAGCATGGAGATTAACTTGCACTCAAACAGGATATATCTCCGCCCATCCTTCAGTTACGCGTTCCACATCACGTGATCACACGTGTTGACTGGTTCCTCGAGCAATGACCTCTCCGATGGGCTTCACTCATCGGGTAAATTTTATTCTTTATATGGGCTAATTATAAATTATTGATAGTGTGAGATTTTGGAATTTTTGTTGGTGTATATTTCGTCCTGTAATTGTTCATCTTCCTGGGTAATGAAGGTAATGTACGTATAAGAGGCATCAAGTGTTAAATTTGATCCAAATGCTTGCACGCAAATGCAGCCTACCCTGACATGTTATTTACTTTCAAATGTGGTAAACAGTGCTGACCCAAAGGTGTCTGTGACTGGCTTCCGTGTTGCTGAATTGTCCCTAATACGTGTCCCATTCTCGTACATTTCAAAGCTGTTCATCCCAGCGTTGTTCTGTAGAGGTCACTCACCAGATTACGCGTTACAAACCACGTGACAATTCCTGTCCCACTTGCAACCTTCGCCGATAACTTGTGCACTAAAAATTCTCATCCATTTTTGTTCACGCGGCTACCACTTACGTAACGCGCCAGGCTGATGAACTTCAACACATCAGGTTGAGTTTTATTCATGTTCGTGCAAGCATCAAACACGAAGGGACACCCCTCTCCTCATACTGCACATAATAAATAGGTCTACAAATAGGCGCAGCACACTCGCGCGCACAGGACAGGAAGTCAACAGTCAACGGAAGTTCACTCAAGAACTCTCCACAAGTGTCCTCATACGATAAGTCACTTTTTGGCTTATTTCGCTTTTCGCATTGTATCTATTTTTATCAAGTGCACCTAGCTATTCTATTCATCACAGGCTCTTGTTAGTGCTTGTTACCTTCTGATAATCAACTTAATTACGTCATAACTGGAGCACTAACAGTTTGTACATGTGTCTTACGAATTTGATTTCGCTAAATTGAAGGAATCCAAGGAACGTATAAACTCATCCAGGATAGTAGTCCTTGTAGGGTATTCGTAAAAGTTATGGGAGTTGTGAAGTTTGTGTTGCATTTTAAATGATTTGGTGGGATCAGTAAGCTCCTCGTATTTCTACCATGATCAATGGGAGCATCACCGACGTTGGTCCCTAGTGTTTCTAGTACCCGTAGATTGCCCGCCAGCACCCAATTCTTGCTGTCTTTGTACAGTTACTACGGTACATTATGCGAAGGAATTGCAGAAAATGGGTTCGCCTCTGAAAGTTTACATCTATAGGCAGCGACATTTATGCCAATGGCTGACGAAGTGGTGCAGTCTAAGCAATTCAGTGGGCACCCAGTTACATTGTGTTAGCTGGTTGGTTCCCATAGAGCCAACTCAATGTAGCGCATCTCTGTTCACAGGAATCCTGCAGACTGACCACTGATTAGCTCCATCTTCTCAATACTGCCCCCTCCCGTTTACGATTTCTCAACAATACCTCCTGAATGTGACCAGATTAATGCTTGGGGAAAAGAGTTTTGACAAGTGAATCTAATTGCAACGCCTCTGTATTACAACCAACCTCGTGTTTTAGCATAATTCCCATTGTAAGGCTGTGCATTTTACTCGTTTCGACTGTCTTTGAATCAGTCAAAATAACGAAAACCCTTGAGGATAATTGCAAATGTTTTTTTCATAAATGATATTTCCCCTAGCCGAATGGAAAAATGTACTGCAGCAAAAGTTTTGGTAGCCCATTTTGAGTGCTGTCGTCAATAGCACCGTGCGCCGAAGAGTTCGAATGCATCTGGTTGTAATGAAATGGACCAATCAATATTAGGACGATAACGTCGATTAACTGTTTACTTGCCAAGCTGATCAATTACATGAATCTTGTATGTATTAGAACTGCTGTCAGCTATGATTACCTTGAACATTTGATATGTGGCAGTGCCTTTTATCAAAAGTGGTCGGATTTTGTCTTGCGCTGCGAATTCCTCCAGAGAGTTAATTGGCAGTTTGTTCGATTTGCGTGTCAAGTGGGCTGTCATGTCCGCTTGCCAGAATGTGCGAGTAAGCAAGGCCAGAAGCCAGAATGATAGCAAGATTGTACGTGCTGAGCTCGCTACTGGATAGACTTCAAGACCTGGCGGAGACATAACGGAAAGGGTGATCATTCTTCCTCTCTTAGAAACAGCTTATGGAAGTTGGAGTGGCCTAGATATGGAAACAGGATGATGCTGAAATGCACTGAACAGATAAAAGGGCTTTTGTCTGCGCTGCATTTTAAGCATGAAAGTGCCAGAATGGTACTGCTTGTTTCAGCACCAGTCGTCTAAAAATCAGTTATTTCCAGCCTCAAGTCATGAATTCTCTTACGCATCAAGCTGCTTGCCCTTTGAATACTGTCAGGTCCGTTAAATATAACCTTTCAGAGAGGAACTCATGCAAAGATCGGTTCTACTCGAGTTACTCGTGGATGGCGAAGTCACTGATATTATCCAGCCCGTTATCTGCCTTTTAAAGTTTCTCAGCTCTGTTCTTGTGGAACTTAATTCTTGACCTTTTATCTTGCAACTGAAGTCAATCGTTGCTGAAAAACCTACATTTCTCCTTCTTCCTGGGGAAGATTAGTAGTAGGAATCTCACCGGTCACCGGACAGATTCGAATCAACAACTTCCTGGTGAATGAGTGAACATCACAACAAAAGCGATTGATCAGCAATGTGAGTACCCGATACTTGGACAAGTTACAGATTAAACTTTTTCAACAGCTTCTCTCTGTAGTTCCGGTGCCCGTCAGTCATGTTCATAATCCCGTCGACAGCTTTCCCGGGGTCTGTCGGTGCGTTGCTCATGAGGGGTAAATTCTAGACTAGACTATTCGCACGGTACAGGCCACTTACCCTGAAATAAAAAACTCTTGATTGAACACCACAAGTTTTCGGAAAAGGAGACTTCTTCATCATTGGTTCGTTCCGTTTGAATGCCTTGATTATACGCACTGAGCAGGCTTCTTCGATTCGTGTAGTAGAGCAGACAGCCTACCAGAATGATGCAAGTCGCTAGCAATAACCAAACATCATGTTTGAATGGCTGGAGCATACGAAACAGTCCCCAAGGGGATGTTGGGATCACCATCAGTATACTGGTTTTTTCCTCCATGAACGGACCAAGATACTGGACGACTTTTGAGCGGGATTTGGTGACGGTGATTGCGGCAGCGGCGAAATCAAAACTCTGATCAAATGCGGAAGAAGGGGGGAAAGAGATGGCAGAATTACGAAGTCACTTGACAAAGCATGGGTGGTCTGGATGGTTTTAACCGTACTTGCTCCAATAACCGGCAAACTAACAAAGTCAAGGTTTAGATTATTGCGGACAATCAAAATGTCATCAGATTGTGCACGTATTGACCCTATCTCTGAGGATTTGTCATGGTAAAAACAGATGTATCCACCGCCGTAAGCAGCGGTTAAGTAGACACCCAAGAGCTTCGAAAAGGTGTTGTATTCTAGTAGCTTAGTTATATGTTTCAGCGGCGAATGAGGTTGGCAGACGTGAACTGTGCTGCTTCATTTGGAGATGAACAAACTGATGGCAAGTCCGGACCTGATAGACCAGTTCTAGTCAAACTGGTCGGGTGACTTAACATATTTTCGTCAAACGTAAACACACTTAAGACGATTATTGCCTGAGAACATCATAAACGAGAGATTCAGCTGGGTTCCAGGTGAGTCTCTCGAAAGGACCAAATTAGTTTGCAGATGAGTGTATATTCGCTAATTTCGTGCAATTTGGTTTCAAGTAGAACATAAGNGATGGTTTTAACCGTACTTGCTCCAATAACCGGCAAACTAACAAAGTCAAGGTTTAGATTATTGCGGACAATTAAAATGTCATCAGATTGTGCACGTATTGACCCTATCTCTGAGGATTTGTCATGGTAAAAACAGATGTATCCACCGCCGTAAGCAGCGGTTAAGTAGACACCCAAGAGCTTCGAAAAGGTGTTGTATTCTAGTAGCTTAGTTATATGTTTCAGCGGCGAATGAGGCTGGCAGACGTGAACTGTGCTGCTTCATTTGGAGATGAACAAAGTGATTGTAAGTCCGGACCTGATAGACCAGTTCTAGTCAAACTGGTCAGGTGACTTAACATATTTTCGTCAAACGTAAACACACTTAAGACGATTATTGTTCTCATGGTCGTGCGTGCGACAAAATCCAACCTAAGTCTGCGTGGATGTACGTGTATTGCAGTACCCGGTGCTGGACCAGACCGACCTTTGACCTTTTATTCCTCGCGCATGTCTTGAAAAGCACAGTACTTCCCAGTTGTTGATTCCTTGGCGTGACGCGGTCACGTGTTGTTTCATTTTGTTTCCCTTCCGAGTTCAACAGCTTTTGTTTGTCCAAAGATCACTAACTAACAGTTACAAGGGGTAAAATGTCCAGCGCAAAGTTTTCTGGGAATGGGATAAGATCACGGCCCCACAATCTGTTACCAGCACCTCACTATCGAACTGAGGCACCTGACTGGTCAGTTCTGAACAGGCGATGCGGCCAGTTCACTGGACAACTCGAACGATGCCTTAGTAACCTCTTCCTGTCGCACTGGTCGCCCATCCTACGTGTCAGGTAGCAGCACGGAAGCCAGAAGCTGGCTTGGCAATTCTGTTTGGTGTGGAAAGGTGTGGGAATCTATGTGCGGTCGGGCAGTAGCGTGTTCATCGGCTCAGGTACAGTAATTCAGGTGTTTAGCTTGAGCTCGTGGTGGTGGTGGTGGTGGGGACTGCTGTTTTGTCCGTTCCAGACGAACGAAGTTCATATCCCTGCGTGACCAAAGGCATTACCCAAACAGTGGATTCCTCTCTGCACTCGCAAAAGTGTATGGATGGACTACGCAGTAAGATGCGAGCGACGCAGGTGGACTATTCTGTAGAATAACGGTGAAGAACAGTGGCCTGTCCCCCAACCAAGAGGGAACATATATTCCGTATCATGAATTCACTGCACCCCCTAAATAGCCTCGAAGCAAGTACGGAGGTATTGAAGATCCTATGAAAGGAACATTACACGTGTGAGCTATGTCTCCCAATTGAGCGTAGTAAAGCTTCAAAGGGTGTTGAGCGTTGGAACTAGTGAGCGGAAAGTGAATTGTCCAAGCTATGTTACATGAAAACGCCAAGGGCTGGAACTGGGTAAAATAGGAATGCTATTTCTCACGCGCACATTGTGTGGTGGGTGCGTCCACTGAACACAACAAGTCAAAATGAACAGTTGCAAGTCAAACACAATATGCTGAGACTAGATTTCGAAGTTTCGAAGTTTCAAAGTTTACCATACCAGAGGCAATATATTTTGATGGACTTTGCGATCTCGATTAAAGAATCTTGAGAATGGCTCTATTGCTCCACATCTCCGTATTCAGACTGACATTGTGACGTTAGAAGTCAATATAACTGATCAACAGATCCTGGATTTTGTCAAGCCTAGTGAGAAATATGTACTCGATTCCTACCTGAACCCCCCCCCCCCCAC